ATTCTTATATTTTCGGGAAGGCTATTCCACAGTACTACTCCACTGTACTGAAAGCTTCGCTTCAGATAATTAGTTCGTGGCTTGGGTAGATTTAATTTCATTTCAAAGTTCCTAAGATTATATTCTGAGCCACGAACTGAAAAACGATTTTGTAGGTAGGTAGGTGTGTCACCTTTGAGTGTTTTGAACATCAAGCCAGCTTTAAGTTTTTTGCGTCTCAACGATAAGTGATCCAAGTGTAAAGTATCAAGAAGCACAGTAGCATTAGTGTCATAGCTGGACCTCGTAATGACCCTGACCGCCCGGTTCTGTAATTATTGTAGTTTAGAACTTAGCGTTTCGCCATGACCATCCCAGACCGAGCAGCAGTAGTCAAAATGAGGTTGAATCAGTGCTTGGTATACTTGGATAGCCGTGTTCGTTGAAATGCAGGATCTTACACGTTTTAAAGCTCCTATGGCTGAAGCAATTTTTTTACTTAGTTTATCAGTATGCTCAGACCACATAAGGTGATTATCAAGATGGACACCCAGAGAATTTACCGAAGTAACTTGGTTTACCATATTACCGTTTATCTCAATATCTATTTCATTATTTACTGTTTTTATTCTCCGTCTAGATCCAACTACCATGAATTCTGTTTTTACAATATTTAAGCTTAGTTTATTAGTGGTTAGCCAATCGCTTACACCTTTCAATTCGGTGTTAATGACATTTTGGAGCTCTTTGGCCGAGTCGGACGCATAACTAATACTTGTATCATTTGCGAACATTCTTGCAGTTGTATGATTAAGACAGCCATGTAAGTTGCAGTTGTATGAGTAAGACAGCCAATTAAGTATGCCATGAATTTGTCATAACTGTCATTTGTTTTAAGTTTCTAACATGACTTTCAAGTAACATCGTGTCATGTCTTCATTTGAAAACATTCAGAATGCGACTACATTCCTATAGCTATTGCTGCTACAATGTCAAACTATTATTAGCTAGCTAGTTTCGGCATTATTTCTGGCGAACCAATCAGACTTCGCTATTCCCGAATCCCGAAGATGTTGACTTCACGATGTTAGGAATGTCATCCCATTCCTGAATGTTTTGACACGAAAATATGACTTTTTATTCGGCCGAGAGCACAGAATAAAGATCAGTAACAGAAGGGCCACTCAGCGGTGCAACGTGTCCTCGTTTTTTATGCAAAAATATGCAGTTTACTGGCCAGAAGGCGGAGCAGCCAGCCCGTACAGCGTGTTTATTGGCCAGAAATGTCATTGACTGGCTAGGAAAATGGCGGCCAACATGCGTAATGCGACATGCGCGAGGACAGAAACTTCAAAGGTTCCGACGTAAGTGGCCCTTCTGTATTGATCTTTATTCTGTGCCGAGAGGAAGCATACACGATTTGGTAACAGGAATAAGCTGGCAGAACATGTTGTCTCAGTCAAAGCTGTCAATATTAGGGCGAGGCCTGTCTGAGGGAGTCGTCATAATTAATGGGGGGAGGGCGGGGGCAAATGGGAGGGAGAGGCAAACAAAATGTTACTTTCACAGAGAGGGGGTATTAAGTATTCTTATTTGAACGCAGAGCGAGCTCGAAAATTTCACACAGACATCTCTATGTTTCTGGACACCCTGATGATTAGTGATTAGCGGTTCAGTTTCTGCCAACAAAGTCATTACAAGTCCAATAGGGAACTAAGTAAGTGGCGAAGCTAGCCATAGCAATAGGTCATGTTATGCAAATTTTTAATGATTTGCATTATTCAAATTACAGTCAACCGTAGCCTGCGTGTCAGGCTCTAATCTTGAAATAGATCCTATTACTGAAGTCAATAAAAAGTGGACAGCGATTTGGATGCACGAAAATAATAACCAATCAAAACGGCGATTGTTAATTAGATTATCAAAGCTAATTTAAAATATAACAATAACGGCCAATTTTCCGCCGATATCTGGAATATAAATATTCCAATTTTCATTAAACGGCCAGGAATTACATACTAAATAATAATAACGGTTATTGCATGACCGTGTTTATAGACAGCAAAGGCAGTAATTAATGCGGTCAAAAGTACAATTACAAGTACGGAATATCATATTACGTAAACAACAACTGATATTACCTTAAAAGGCAAGGCTATTTATTTCTGACCAGTGGCATTTTTGCGTACGATTCGTACGCATAAATCCACTTTTTATTGATTTCAGTAGCAGGCTCTATTTCAAGCATAGCACATGACACGCCGGCTAAGTCAACCGTGATACTTTTCGCGGTAAAATATTTCCATGATTGTCTTGTATTCCGCCATTTTATTAGCCACTTTAGTGACAAAAGATGGCATCGGAGGCGTGATAGCGTATCCTTATCAATCTGCATTATTCTTGGACGATGTCATATTTTTCATAGTTGGAATATGTTTCTATTTATATATTATTACTCAATGATTGAGATTTTGGCATGTGTATTTATCTTTAACCAATGATTTTAGAACGTTTTCTCATTTTATAAAGTAGATGGCTAATCATGGCTTCTGTTCTGTATTTCCCGTTCGTGGAAGACCAAGAAGTGAGGGTATATCAGAAAGAATATCGTTGACAAATTCAATGTACGCTCTTCGGACGGACAGGAAAGAAAGTCTTTCATTTCTTTTCTTTTCTTTCAGGAAAGAAAATACGGGAGCTTTCACATAGCGAGTTCGCCGAAATCCTGCTCCATCAAAGAGCAGAATAAATACACACAGAAGCTCGACTTTGCCAAAAAAAGCGTAACGGCTGCTACGCCATGATTCGTCATGAAGATGCTGACGCCATGTTTCTAACCTGTGCGCTTATGAGAGGCATTCCCCCCTGGACGTCCCCCGTTTTGAATATTATCAGGCAGGTGAATTCCTCTCGTAAGCGCACTGGCTAGGACCATCCATGGCGTCAATTTGACGTCAGTATTTTGATGACGGCTACGCCAAAATCATACAGGAAAAACCAAGAGGTCGGGCTTCTATGTAGTCTATCCTGTGATCAATTAGCATGCATGAACACTCGTCACAGCAGTTTAATCATTTGCAGTCCTACAGAGACATCCCTTTGATTTCGTAGTTGCTTTTCTGCTACATGTGTTTGTGCAATCACATGAGACTTGAAAAAGCAATATTTTAGAGGATTTAGCTTGTTATAAACTTTGCAGTATATATATGTTTCTGCTTTACTTACTATCTGTTTCGGCTTTACTTACTATTTTATCGGAAAAGACAGATTCTTTTCCCGACGGGTTTGGCAATAGGCTTCAATAAAATCTTTCAATCTGAGATCCATAGAAATTTTCTTCGTATTCCATATCGCTGCTTCCATTCCGAGAAATTCCCAGTTCCAGCCGACTTACATTCATTGCAATTGTTAGAAAAGGAATGTAACATCTAAGTACTTTGCTCCATTTTGCACTAGCCCGCGTGCAGGCCCAAGGGAAGAATAGTGGGCCTGCAAGCAAGACCCGGTATTTTGTACTTTCCGCCTGTTTGCTATTGGATTCTATAATTAGATCAGTGATTCATCACAAAAGCTCTCGATAAGCTTAAAGTGCCACTGCGATGGAAAATTGTGCTGTCTTTTTATTGTATATTCAGAAAGTATATCAGAGACTAGTTTACCCACAGGGTAGTGAATGCTGCCTTGGTATAGCATTGTTCCCAAATCTTTAATATTTTAAAGAATAAGAGTAAAGAAATATTTGTAATCACCATTCCCCAATTAACCAAAATTTTGATCTCAACAAATCTAGACAAAATGCCATCATAGCATGAAAGAGCATCGCAAAATTAGTAATATTCCTATGTTGCGAAATGTTGTAAAATGCGGATAATATAGCCTTGCGAAATTTGCAATTTTCAGTCATTTTAGATTACAAACGGGAAATGGTTACCACTTTTCCAAAATTTTGATCTTAATTAGCCTAAACAAAAATTTCATCACAACTTGAAAGAGCATCACAAAATTAGTAATATTCCAAAGTTTCGTTGCAAAATGTTGTAAAATGCGGATAATACAGCCTTGCGAAGTTTGTAATTTTCAGTCATTTTGTAATCTGTATTACGCACAAAAGTGGTAACCATCTCCCGTTTGTAATCTAAAATGACTGAAAATTGCAAAGTCTTGATTTGTTGAGTTCAAAATTTTGGTTAATCGGGGAATGGTCCGTTGGAATCATCCATAATTTATACACTTGAATGTGCCGTATGATAACTCGGCGCTCGAGGTTTCGTATCGAAAGAGGAACAGCCGAACAGGTACGATGGCTAACAAGAATGAGTGTACTTATCAACTTATCTAACGCGAGGAAAAGATCAAAATGGCAGGTATGGCTGTGATATCTAGTATATAAAATTGTATAGACAATTTGCCTACAAATACGGTTCTAGGTCAAAACGGCCCCGCTTCAATAATCATATGATTTAGACCAGGGGTTAAAGGGCAATGACAATGACATGCAGGTGACATTTAACATGTGCGAGTGTGCGTCCCACTGAATTTGCGTGTTTAATAATGTTTATCAAAGAAGGCAAAAATATATACAAGACAACCTCACATGTGGAATCTGTTCACTTACGCACTGCGTTGTGATGCAGTACAAGTACAAATGACAAAGCATTTTTAAAGGCTTTAAATCCTAAAACATAATTAAATCATACGGGTGATACGGCACATTCAAGATTTTAATATCGTATTTCAGCCGCGTTTATACTGCTTGGCGCGCATTCGCTGCGTTATATTAATTTATATACCTATGTTATATACACATATTTATTACTAATAAATCAACATGCACTATATGATAATATATAAGAACTCACAAAGTGCAGTCACTGAGTCACCTTTTTATAAATAAACCTTTTTAAAAGCATGGCATTGTCATTGCAGACCAGAGGCAAAAAGCACAGCCACATAGGCCTACCAGATTTATTAAGCAATCGTGAGATTATATACATGGAAAGAATATGGAAATTATGTTAAAAGCACCCCGTATAATGACGAAAGCACCGCGTATAATGCTCGAACCACTGCGTATAATGGCGAACGCACCGCGTATAATGGCGAAAGCAACGTTCGAACCACTGCGTATCGACAAAATGCCGTTTGATCACTTACGCCAGCTATGGCTATCCATAAAAGAAAACCAAAGATGAAAGATGATCACATTGCTTGTTTGCCTTATGCCTGTTTATTAGGCAAGAATATCCTGCCGGCCCGGAAGCAGTCCATTGTGGTAGGCCGAAATACGCCAAAACGATCGAGATTTCATCCAACCTCGTCCCCAGGGCCTATTGAGGAAGGAGGCGAAGCAGCAAAGGCCCTAGTAAAGGCTGGTCACGTGATGCTTCAAATTTTGAATATTTCAGAAATTTAACTTTTCAAACCGGGGGTGCGGGCCGCTTTGATTTTATCAAACATGGCCGTGCAAAGGGGCGATAGAATTAACCTTTTGCGACTGAAACCAGAGACTGAAACTATGATGATAAACTTTTTAACTGACAGTGGAAATACTGTAAATATATAGTCTGCGATGTTCTTCAAAAAAATATGGAATATAATCAACAGCAATACTTGTGGAAGATCAAGATTCAAAGAGAAGAGTCTAAACACTGACTGACAACAGTAAATATTTCTTTTCAGCTTGGAAGCGTGTTTTATAATATTTGTCGTTTGGGAGTCAATAACATACTGTCACTACTGTCAGTGAAGAATTTGATTTGGGACTTTGATGTACCTTTATGAAAAGATTACTACT